GGAGGTTTCTCTGTATACAGTACTGTATTTAATTACTACATAATGTATCAATTGTATTTCATTTACAGTAGAAGTCCAAAAATCCGGACTGCTTGGGGATTGGGTCGGTCCGGATTTTCGGATTTTCCGGATTCTCAGGCAGTACTTTTAAAATTCAAATTTAAGGAGGAATAAAGAAGAGATGAACAGGTACATTTTGATAGTTTATTTATTAGCAAATATAGCATGCTTCATTTATCAAAACGAGCAGTTTTAATGAAAAAGCTGTGAATTCTATAATTTTATTCTTTGCCTTTTTTATATCATAAATTGTAGACTTTCCAATGTCGTATGTTTCCATTAGAACAGTATTGCTCACACCACGTACTAGTTTCTTAATTATTTCAAGTTTGTAACTCAATTTCAACGTGTTCTTCTTTCTCTTCACACAACGAAGTTTATCTACTTTAGGAGCCATTATTATGGGCTTGTACAGTAATCTGTAAATGGAAAGAGTAGGACTCAAAATATTGTTATATTACAATGGTATTCTATTCATACTGTGCTTGATATAATGCATTCACGGAAATGTAATATTTTTGCTAAAATGACGTACGTATTACAGCGGAAAGTGGGATCAAATCGTGACGAAAACAATGACTTTCGCTTTCTTTCGTTCAAAAGATGTTACCGTAATCGCTTTTCGAATGGTTTAGTTAAAAAACTGTTGTATTACAATAATATTCCCTCCTAATTGACTTGAATAAATACTTGAATGGAAATATACAATATTTTTGTTGAAACTACCCGCGTTTCAGTGTAAAGTGTCGTAATAATAAATGGTAAACAATTTGCCTTCGGCACTCGTGTTTCAGTTTATAGGACGTAGAGCGTTTTTACTGAAGGTTTTGTTGTTCCCTTACCCTCAAAAACGTGGGTCGAACTATAAACGAGGAATTTCATAAATTAACGATTTCTTGGTCAAAAAATCAGGGTCGACCGATAAACGAGGGGGGGTTATAGATGAGTATATACGGTATGTTGTCACAGTTTGATTGCTCGTTTTAAAGTGGCGACCACGTGGTCGCTTGTTGTCGCTGTGCAGCTGTGGCGCTCACGCATGCGCACATACACACAAAAGCCCGCTAAAAAAAATAAAAAAAAATAATAATAATAATGATAATAATAATTAGTTTTCCAAAAGTCCGGATTCTCGGGTGGTCCGGATTTCTGGCATCCGGATTTTTGGACTTTTACTGTATAAGCATTTGTAATTCTGTATTATACTTACATGAAATATATTTGTAATTTAATAAAATTTTGGTATCATTTGACCAGTTTTTCTTTTAAAAACAATCATGTTTTAACATTTCTTTTTTATCTTATTTATGATTTTCAGGCAATTTCAATGAATGTCTTTTATACAAAATTCATCATCACAGCCACTTAGAAATTAAAAAAAAATGGTGAAAATAGCACTTTAATTTTTTGGTAGGAAACTCTTTAACTCCTTGTGAATGACTGAAATCATGAGCAGTCCACAAAGGGTTAATAGGCAATTGAGGATTCCCTACTCTGCCTCCATATGTACAAATATGGAATACAATAAACATTAAACATCCTTTGATAATGACCACCATTTAAGGCGTTGCTGTACGGAATATTTCACTTAACCATACTGGGTTCAGTATCAAACAACACAAAATTACTGTACTGTATAACTAAGAATTACATATGTTACGAGTTGGGGATTTAGAATATAGTTAAAAGTCTACCCAAATCCCAACAGGCAACA